TGAGTGAGTGAGTGAGTGGAGTGAGTGAGTGAGTGAGTGGAGGGAGTGCGTGAGATGAGTGAGTGGAGTGAGTGAGTGAGTGAGTGAGTGAGTGAATGAGTGAGTGGTGAGTCCTAAGCCGGTGTCACAAACCCTTGCCTGTTGTCAGTCCCACCCCCGCTTCTCTCTGTGCTGGTTGGCATAGCTCGCCCTGCTCTGCTGATGCTGCCTTCTCCTGGAACAGAGCTGCAAACCCCCTTTCCACCCATGTGCACTCTTCCCTGTCGTTGCCCTGGGCCGTGAGCTGCTTTCAGTTTCTCTCGTTCATGCTTAAAGCTGCGGCAGGCATTCTCATAACTAAACATTTCTCTGAACTTCTGGCAGTTTCCTTTCCAGAAGTGGGGCCAGCAGACCTGAGCCCACGCACCCTTGTAGCGCTTTCTAGCCCCACCTTCCAGAAAGGTGGCCCCACCTGCGTGCTCCTGTGTCCTGACCAGCACAGGTGTTGCCTCACCTGGGCTATGGAGCCAGCTTTCTGGAAACCTGCCACATCCGGGCATGCTCCCCCTAGAGGAAGAAGCGGAATGTTTTCGCAAGCACAAATCACCTCCCCAGGGACTCTTCCTGCCCAAGGGACTGGCCCAGGTCACTCGCTTAGTCACGGTCAAAGGGGGAACTTCTGAGAAGTAGGGACCGCCTGGGACTTTCCATGAAGTCACTGCCTTGCCTGTCAGGCTCTTTGGTCCTATTATCTGGCTCTTTGTGTGTGGCCTTCTTGCCTCCCAGCTACCTACAAGGGAGCCTCACATATGACATCCCGGGTCAGAAAACAAGACCCACAAAACCTGATGCGCCCACCGCACGTCACCCTTTAAGAGGCTCCCACCCCACCCCAGCTTGTGAGGTGCCTTCCCAGGCTTAGCTCCATCCATCTTCCCAGTAACACGGTGTGATATCGTTATTCCCGTTTTACAGAGAAGGAAACTGAGGCCCACCTCTGGGATGTGGCTCGAGCTAAACTTGAACCCCGGGTCCCTTCTGCTCCTGCCAGGCTCTGCAGAAAGTTCACCCCCAAAAAGGACCACCCCCAGCCTGGGAAGCAAAGTGACCAGCAAGGCACGCCCAGCCTGGCCCTCCGACCTGGTGTCTCCCCTTCCTCCCCACAGGGAGTTCTTCGGGCAAGGCTGGATGAAGCTGGAGAAGAAGGAAAGGACCCCTTACATCATGA